ACCATCGCCCAATAAGTGATTTCTGAAACTTCAGCAGGTCACGTTCTTGGAAAATGAACACCACAACTGAGATTTACAGGCAATTTAAAAGGGAAGGAAAAATTAAGGAGAGGAAAAGGGGTTTCAATGTCTCAAAGCCACAGAAAAAGAAAAACGTGCAAACTAGAGGGAAGCAAATTGAGAAGGATCAGATTATTTGCTGGAGTGCAGGGCCGGAAGACAGGAGCCCCAGAGACGTCTCCCAAAACCGGCCATACTGGGCCAGGGAGGCTCTGTGGTTAACAGCACTGGCCGCTCTGCCAGAGGATCCAGGGTCAATTCCCAGCACCCGCATGGTGGCTCCCAACCATCTGTGACTCCAGCTGCAGGGGACCCAACACCCTCATCTGGCCTCCACGTACACTGCACACACGTGATGCATACACATACATGCTGGGGAGAATAATAATTTTGAAAGATTTATGAAAGCCTGTCTCCATTGACAGTGGGCAGTTGTGTCCAGGGCTCCTAGATTCACGAGTCTGTGTTAGCAGAGTCACACTCCATCAGGGATCAACATGCCTGTCCTTTTTCTTGTTTTTCCCTTGGAATGTCATGCCTGCATACATTCTGTTTCCATCGTTGTCAATGCCCACTCTCCCATTCCAACTCCTGGATCAGCCCCTGTCACAACCTCCTGACATTTTGTCTAAGCAGTGGCATACCCACTGAAGCATGGCTTTCCCCACCCCCACCCCAGTCACCATCAATTGCCAACAGGGTGGAGCAGGGTCTTGTGAGCCCCTCCCCATGGCTTGTCCCTGTGCAGGCTTTGTGCAGACAACCACAGTAGCTGTGTAACAGTCCTGTCATGTCGAGAAGACACTGTTCCACAGCTGCCCTCCCTAACTTCTGGCTCCTGCGACCTTTCCACCCCTCTTCTAGAACATTGCAAACCTTACAGGGGAGGGGGGTTAATATGGATGTCCCATCTGTGGCAGAACACACCTCAGTCACTCGTTCTCTGCACTGGTACCATCAACATACCCTTCCCATCATGCACAACAGAGGCCCCTAGTGGCCCTGACGATAGCATATTCTGGAGACGTGAGTTTTTTTGCAGTGACCTGAGCACCAAGGTCTGGGGTCTGCTGGGGGCTCGGCTAGTGGAGTTGGCAACAGGGGCAGCACAGGCTTTGTGGGAACCTTGTGTTTCAATACCAGTTGTTCTACAGACAGACTCCGCTTCCATCATAGAAGAAGAAATCAAGGGTCATGGGTTGTGGCCCCGCTTGCCCGTCACACTAGAGACTCTGGGCTGGACCTCCAGCAGAGCATATCACCCTGGGTGCAGTAGCACAGCCCATAACCCCAACATTCCTACAGTGTAGGCAGAAGGACCAGACATCCAAGGTCATCCACAGATACACGGTGAATCCCAGGCCAGCATGGGAAACGGAGAACCTGTCTTGAGAGAGAGGGACTGAAAGAGAAAGCCCCTCGGAGGCAGGACACAAGCCGTATCTACCCTTAAGGCCTTGGAGGGATCCCATTAGTCAGACTGACACCGTGAAGGAGAGACACACGTTCTCCAAGGACTGTTTTGTCCTGGTGCTGCCTTCAGTCAGAGGGGTGACTGTGGCGACCTCTCAGGAAACTTCTAGTCATGTGATTCTATTTTTGAACACAAATCAAACCCTGGAAAATTCTGGCATCAGCCACCCAGACACCCCAGAGCTGGCTGTGTGTCATCTGCGAATATATTTTTGAAGGGGCCTTTATGTCCCCGACACATGGGCAATTTTAGAGGTAGTGATGTTTACAGAAGGTTTCTTAGCTACGTAAACAAACACGCTCAGCAGCTGTGGCAAGTGTGCATTAAAATAGTAGCGCATTCATCCAGACTGATATTTATAGAGGGCAAATGGGCCTCGCAGCTAGATGACAGCCTCCCTGCACTGGGCCCTGGGCCAACCAACGCCTCACTGT